CCGAACGATCGTTTACTATCCTAGTAGACGTATTGTTGTGGGAACATCCTAACTACATTTGTAGCTAGAGTTCACGTGGGATTTCCAACACCACACGGCGCACTTTTTACAGAATATATGTACCATCTTTTCTTTTCGTTGCAAGTGACTGACTTCAGTTTGCAATTTTTTTAAATGATTGGCTTCTCTGTCACGACGTTCTTTTCTATGAAGTCGTCTCATACGACATAAGATCCATACCCAAACAAGCAGAGTCGTATGACTTACGACTCTGTGCAACAAAACCGACTGAAAGCTAATTATCCTAACCGCATGTCGAACATCTGCTCCATACAAACTTTACGTGACATGGCTTCGTCGTATAATACGACATCCATTTGTGTGTTATGTGTGGCAGATCTTGGTAATCAGGGGGTTAATGGTAACTCCAAAATCGGTGAAGTTAATATAGTGACAATATCACCTAGCAGACCAGCTAATATTAAAATTTTCCATAAATATTTTCTTCTGAGACAAAATGATATTATCAAAAAATAATATTTTATTAGTAGCTATGATATTATTAATTAGTATCATAAAAAGATTCCAAAATCGGTTTAATCATATGTCGTTAATGCTCGACTAACGGAAGTTGTTAATCAACAGTGAGAAGGCGGGACAAAATTTGTCCGTCACTCTCACATTGAATGTGAGAGTGACGGCAAGGTTGGTGTGGTGTGTTGGCACTGCTGAGCGCATTATCCAGCGTCACAGGCTGCAGGTTTATGAGACGCTCGATGTGGACGAGGCTATCGGCAAACTCTTTCGGTCAGGCTCTAAGATAGCAGTAGTGATGGTAGACTTTAAAACTGACGAGTATTTGCTCTACATGTAGTATTTCACTGTGACACAGACAAACCGATCGAGATGGAAAACTGCAAACGGTTGCAGTTGTTTAAAGTCGACAGAGTGAAATCAAGGTATTTGTTCTTGTTCTCGTTCTTTGGTGAGTCCTCGCAGAGGGTAAGGTGACAAGAAACGTACTTAAGTGGGAAATATCTCAAATATCTAAGTTACTAATATTTTTATCTCTGAGTTAATAATAATATATTATGTTAGCTTTTAATAACTAGGACATTTAATTTAGTAGTAGTACTACTACAAAGAAATATCGTACTTTATGATATCTGGTTACGGCATGAGATTCAGTAAGGTCTCTTTTTTGTAGCAAAAACTCGATCTCTACAGTATCAAAGCAAAGACCAGGACAACGTCCGGGGTCCAATCCTAATCCTTTCGCCTGCTGTCATCATTCAAGTCACTTTCGAATTCGCCACGAGGGCAGCATCAGTCTTCGCGGCGGTACCCTTCGTTTCAATAACTTCTTTAGGTGATCAAGCGCCATGGTTAACGTTTGGTACGCCAGTGCACTGTTGGCCTCCGTTGCTGTGAAAGTTAAAGCCGACGTCTGCGGAGATGCTTCCGTCACGGATGGCACCGCAACCATTACTCAGTCGGCGCCAACGACGACTTCGACAGTCTTTCCGGAATGGACGCTCAGCTCACTCAAGCACCCTACCATCACTGGCCACCGGGGTGCCCCGGGGTATCTGCCCGTCATGTGATGTACGGAGACGCCAAGGTGCAAGGGACTCGACGGCGTCACTCCCGAGCTTTCAACGAGTATTGGATACGGCCCATATGTCACTGAATCCAGGCTGTCCTTATCATTAATAATGGACTGGCCGGATTCGCATTCAGCGGACCATCTACGGTACGAAACCTCAGTGGCGGTTGGGATGAGTTCGCGGAAGGCTCAGCGACCCTTGGAAGGCACGTACACCGTCTGGGACAAGGCGCGGACCGTTAAAGATGCTCGTGCGACGGTGCAGACGACGCTTGGCATGCAAGAAGATCCATAACGGATCATTGTTCACTTGATATTTGTATACTTGATTAGGACTTCTTATTAGGAATAGACCCGAAAGGGTAAGCTTAAATACAGAACAGAATTTCCACTCAAGCACACAGAGCGACGTCCGGCTTCAAGGTAAGCGTCAGGTCAAGCTTGTTGGAGTGTGTTATGCCTGTCGGTGAACTCGAAGCTCTGTAGCGAGGGTTCATCCGGCAAGGCCAAGAGACTTTGTGTATTGGCCGATTACTATCGTGAGGTTTTACGTGACGGCTTATTGTTGCCTATTTGCACGACTGGGAGTGCTTGTATTGCATCCCTTTTATTCTTCCAGCCGAGTGTTGAACACTCGGTGATCTCGTAAAAGGCTTACCCGTGCCTGGTACCCTTCCGCTGTTGGGACCACGAAGATTCAAAACACCTGCTAGCTTTGCTCGTGCTAGTAGCGTGCTCCTATTTTTACCGGCTGGCCTATATAAGTAGTTTACAAGGTCCAGTTTGTCCCGGTGCAAGGGCAGAACTGGGGTCTTCAGGTCCGCCCGAACGATCGTTTACTATCCTAGTAGACGTATTGTTGTGGGAACATCCTAACTACATTTGTAGCTAGAGTTCACGTGGGATTTCCAACACCACACGGCGCACTTTTTACAGAATATATGTACCATCTTTTCTTTTCGTTGCAAGTGACTGACTTCAGTTTGCAATTTTTTTAAATGATTGGCTTCTCTGTCACGACGTTCTTTTCTATGAAGTCGTCTCATACGACATAAGATCCATACCCAAACAAGCAGAGTCGTATGACTTACGACTCTGTGCAACAAAACCGACTGAAAGCTAATTATCCTAACCGCATGTCGAACATCTGCTCCATACAAACTTTACGTGACATGGCTTCGTCGTATAATACGACATCCATTTGTGTGTTATGTGTGGCAGATCTTGGTAATCAGGGGGTTAATGGTAACTCCAAAATCGGTGAAGTTAATATAGTGACAATATCACCTAGCAGACCAGCTAATATTAAAATTTTCCATAAATATTTTCTTCTGAGACAAAATGATATTATCAAAAAATAATATTTTATTAGTAGCTATGATATTATTAATTAGTATCATAAAAAGATTCCAAAATCGGTTTAATCATATGTCGTTAATGCTCGACTAACGGAAGTTGTTAATCAACAGTGAGAAGGCGGGACAAAATTTGTCCGTCACTCTCACATTGAATGTGAGAGTGACGGCAAGGTTGGTGTGGTGTGTTGGCACTGCTGAGCGCATTATCCAGCGTCACAGGCTGCAGGTTTATGAGACGCTCGATGTGGACGAGGCTATCGGCAAACTCTTTCGGTCAGGCTCTAAGATAGCAGTAGTGATGGTAGACTTTAAAACTGACGAGTATTTGCTCTACATGTAGTATTTCACTGTGACACAGACAAACCGATCGAGATGGAAAACTGCAAACGGTTGCAGTTGTTTAAAGTCGACAGAGTGAAATCAAGGTATTTGTTCTTGTTCTCGTTCTTTGGTGAGTCCTCGCAGAGGGTAAGGTGACAAGAAACGTACTTAAGTGGGAAATATCTCAAATATCTAAGTTACTAATATTTTTATCTCTGAGTTAATAATAATATATTATGTTAGCTTTTAATAACTAGGACATTTAATTTAGTAGTAGTACTACTACAAAGAAATATCGTACTTTATGATATCTGGTTACGGCATGAGATTCAGTAAGGTCTCTTTTTTGTAGCAAAAACTCGATCTCTACAGTATCAAAGCAAAGACCAGGACAACGTCCGGGGTCCAATCCTAATCCTTTCGCCTGCTGTCATCATTCAAGTCACTTTCGAATTCGCCACGAGGGCAGCATCAGTCTTCGCGGCGGTACCCTTCGTTTCAATAACTTCTTTAGGTGATCAAGCGCCATGGTTAACGTTTGGTACGCCAGTGCACTGTTGGCCTCCGTTGCTGTGAAAGTTAAAGCCGACGTCTGCGGAGATGCTTCCGTCACGGATGGCACCGCAACCATTACTCAGTCGGCGCCAACGACGACTTCGACAGTCTTTCCGGAATGGACGCTCAGCTCACTCAAGCACCCTACCATCACTGGCCACCGGGGTGCCCCGGGGTATCTGCCCGACCACACCATTGAAGGTTACACACTCGCCATTGAAACCGGCGTCGATGTCATTGAACCCGACCTTGTCAGCACTAAGGACGGCGTACTTGTTGTACGTCACGAACCCTACATCGACGGCACCACCAACGTGGCCGACCACCCTGAGTTTGCTGACCGTCTCACCACAAAGACAGTCGACGGTATGCCGATACTCGGCTATTTCGTCAGCGACTTCACGCTCGCGGAGATCAAAACGCTGCGCACCGTGCAGCCGTTGCCCGAACGCGACCAGAGTTTCGACGGACTCTACGAAATCCCGACATTTGAGGAAGTCATCCAGCTCGCACAAAACAAGTCTGCCGAGTACAACCGCACCATTGCCATCTACCCAGAGGTGAAGCACTCGAGCTTCCACAAGGCGCTTGGGCTGCCTATTGAAAACACTATGCTCGAACTACTGACCAAGTACGGATGGAACCACGCTGACGCCCCCGTCTTCATCCAATCCTTTGAGACTGCAAACCTGCGGGAGCTGAACGAGATTACTAACCTCACTCTTGTGCAGCTAATCGATGGCTTCGGCAATGACCCGCTGACGGGTGAAGTCCTTTTCCAGGCACCGTCCGATCGTCCATACGACTGGACTCTGGCCAACCGTACCGACTACTTCGGGTACCTCACCACGCCCGCCGGTCTTGCTGAGATTACCACGTACGCTGATATTATTTCTCCTTGGAAGCGATACCTGCTTAAGTCGATTGCCGTCAAGGCGGACGCGAACGGTGGCGTCGTGGACTCAAACGGTGACGGCAGAGTCACAGACGCTGACTATGCAATCGTTGAGTTTCCGAACATTATCGAGGACGCACATGCCGCCGGTCTGAAGGTTCACACGTGGACGATGCGTGACGAGAACTATCGACTGGCGGCGAATTACTCTGGTAACGCAACGCTGGAGTACTTGGCGTTGTTCGATATGGGAATTGATGGTGTGTTTAGTGACAACTGCAAGACGGCTGTGGCTGCTCGTGATGCGTGGCTGGCCCAGCAGTAGATACTTGAAAGTAATTCTCCACTTGAGGCTATTAGCTCAGTAATACTACGTGGTGTGCGAGTTTTAGACCTTTACCTGCCGTAACTTCGTCGCCTTGTACTGTAGTACTTTATTACTACATTAGTACTTCATCAAAATGAAATGATAAACTATCCCATTTGACAGTTTGAACACATGTGTAAAACACAAGGCTGTACCAGCCAATGAATATTCTTGAGAGCTCCCAACCAACCACCCTTCTGAACAAACTTGTCGGTGCTGCTGTTACTTGGCTTTAATTCTCTTATTTTAAAATTTACACAGCCATATGTGCTGAGCGACGTAGCTATAGTATCCACGAGAAACTCGCTGTTCTAGCAGACTATCGGATAGGCGTGAAAGGTCACGGCTTTGCTGCTCTTAGCAAGAAGCACAGCGTGGCGGTTTGAACCCACGCCGATCGCGTAGGAGGGTCAAGCCTAAACGACCAAGCCATATTCGAGGACCCATAGACTTGCTTCTTCAAAGTCAAACAATTTGTTCGTTGTACAACACAAAGGCTTTCTAAACGAATATAACACACAAGCAGCGTTGTATTCATTTACAGCACCTATGCCTTATATGCGGGGTAAGACGGTAGGCTTTTAAATCAAATAAAAGTTGATTATGAGGATAGCCGAACCTCGTGTACTACGCCCAGTCAAATAGAGCGCCTACCCAGCTGGAAGGTGTATGTGACGGGGTCACACAGCACCTTGCGCTAGAGGAAGTTAGCTTCCGAGAGTATACAAACTCTCAGTGAACGGCAGTTCACAGGTCCCCTCTTTATTCAAAAGAGAGCGAAGTGACCTAATTAAGGTAGAATGTAAACTGAGTATATTTATAGGTAGATTAAAGCTTGGGTTTCATACAAACTATAAGTCACCTATAGAAATGCAATGTCATCAACCAATGGTTGGCTTTGGACGACCTTGGTACTTTGTACCAAATATCCCGAAGTATGACGTGTCATACTTCATGTAACCAGGGTACACGTAGGGATACGTACCCCGTTACATCCTCCCCCACTTAGGTTCGGTTTACCGACCAGGTGTTCGTCACAAATTCTGTAACGGGTAAGAGATACCGTTACTAACTTACACTATATTGCGGAGGAAGCTCGCAATAATGAAACCAAGTCTTAGGTTTGTGTCAAATTCAAATCTGATTTATTTAGGACCAGGGCGGCTACCCCTGGCCTCGTGTGAACCACTCAAACACATGTCTTTATCTGATTGGTCAATAAGTGAGTCTGGCTCTTCACTATCAACCAATCAGATGATGACACCTTGGCACACGCTACCCGTGTGCCACTTTACCTACTTATTTATTAACTAAAGAAACATCTACCTACTTATGTAATTGGAGCTGGGCCCATTACATCACCCTCCTCTCTAAGTTGCGCTTACGCAACATAAGCGCACGGAACACATTTGAAGAAAACTCGAAAACCGACAAGGCGGAGACATCGGAGACAGCGCGAAGGGGGCGGCGCCAGCGCGACGCTGGCGGTGGTAACAAGGGCAAGCCCAGGATCGACAGGTGCGCCACAAGCTCTGGATGTACTGCGATGGCCGACACTGCGTGTCTCGGCTCCCAGGACACACATCGACGAAGTGCCAAGCGTACATGCGACTTTGAAGACTCCGAACTGGAGGCACTTGGATCACGGACACGAGGAACCTCACGAAGCCGACTTCGTGGCGCAATGGTCAATGCATGGGGCTTCCAGTCAGAACGCCAGGGTTCGATTCCCACTAGGCGCATTCACTCACGCACACGCGAGTGTTGTTTTGCTGCCAGAACGGAATAGCTTCGAACACCTCGAAGACATGAGACTTGTCGACGGAAGTCAACCACTTGAGCAAGCCAAGTGAGCATCTCGTTGTCACCACTGGTGTTACCAGAATCAGGTACTTGTTGGCCACCGTGTCGCCGCTGATAATCGATATCCTTTCGGCGCAGTTGTAGCGTGTCGGGGTTGACAACCCACTGGTCACCGGTTCGATGTCGCCGGTGGTTTCTTGTTTTCATTCTTGCACTGACAAGTTGTGTCAGTGTTCGCTGCGGGCTCACGCCGACGTTGCACGCGTCGGAGCGCGACATCGTTGTCGCCTCCTCGTGTGGGTCGTTCTCGTGGCCGTTCTCAATCTCGTTCACGGTCTCCGCGGGGTGACCCGCGGAATTCTTCTTCTCAAGCAGCATGGTGTCATACTCGTGGACCACGTCCGGAACGTCGCGGAGAAGGTTGGCGCGGGGCTCCGACGTATCATGTTCTGGGGGATAACCGAGCCAACGTACCAAGTAGCGGCGCGCGGTCGGAACCGCGCGAAGAGTATGACTACGGATTTTACGTTGAACAGCCGAGTTGTGGGGATCTTCGTGACCAACGATACGCTCCACAATCCAGCGCGCGTCACCCACCGAGTCAATTATCGGTGGTGGACCATCCCGGTGATATGACGTACGCCCTGTACGTCCAGGGCGAGGTGGAGACTGCTTCGAACCGTGCGTTAGACGCTCATACTGGAGCTGAGCGGACGGAAGATCGTGCCTGGCGAACTGACGGGTCTCTGGCGCGTCAGGATCGTCGGGCTGGTCGCCCGACGCATTCTCCGTCTGCCGGTTTGGGTCAGGAATCGTCGCAGGGAAATACCGCTTAAGTCGCCCGACGTAAAACGTCGGGTGGAGTCTAAGTGACGACGGAATGTTCAGAGTGTAGGCGTCGCCCACAGCCTTGGTTACTCGAAAAGGGCCGATGAAGCGTGGAGCAAGTTTGTTGGCGCCAAGGTTGCTTACGGCAGAAGCTCGGATTCCCTCGGTCGATAGGAGAACGCGATCTCCTATCTTGAATACATTCACGTTCTTTCGACCGTGCTTATCGGCTTGTTCCTTTTGCTTGTCCACTGCATTCTGCAGTGCGTCGCGGACGAGCCTTGAGATGGATTGCCTTTGCATGAGGAATTCCGCAACTGCCGAGCGATCGGCAGGGAGCACCGAGGGTTTCGGTGTATAATTGGCCGTGGTAACTGCCTGCTCGCGAGTTTTGCTGCCTGGATCGATCAAGTTCTGCGACGTCCATCTCGTTATCGTAGATGCAGTACGCCGAGGAGGCTCGATGGACTGCTTGGACGGAGAGCGAGTCAAGGCGTTCACACTGGCTTCACCCGAAGATAATCCTGAAGTCGAGTGCGCCGGCAGGCCTGTTGGCACCGGTGAGGCTACCGGTGCGTGCTGAGACACCGGTTCACGTACCGGTGATGACCACAACACGGACTCGTGTCCGCAGGACTGACCGCAAGTTCAGCATCCATGTCGACCGAAGGAGATTCTCCCCCACCAAGGGTGGAGCCGCCAGCATCCGTGGGGTGACCCACGGCGAGAAGTGCCGGAACACGTGGGTGGCGAGCGTTGTTCACGAAAAACGGCGTCATACCCGTCGAGGAGTGCTCGGCGTTGTTGAGTGCGAACTCGGCTAGCGGTAGGAACGAGCTCCAGCTCGTGTACGAAGTTGCATAGCTGCGGAGAACGTCTTCAAGGACGCGGTTGACGCGTTCTGTTTCTCCATCCGTCTCCGGATGTGCCGCAGTCGACATCAGCAATTTGGTTCCCAAGAGCTCGAAGAGGCGTGACCAGAACGCGGATGTAAACCGCGGGTCGCGGTCAGACACGATGGACTCCGGCAGACCGTGGTGACGAAAAATCACGTCGACGAAGTGGGCCACGAACTCTTCCGCGGTGATTGAGGCTGCCACCGGAACGAGATGGACCATCTTGCTAAAACGATCGACGAACACAAGTACTCCCGTGCGCCCGGCTGTATCGGGCGGAAGACCGAGGATGAAGACCATCGAAATGAAGCGCCAGGCTTCCGTGGCGACCGGAAGAGGGCGCAATGGGGCCTGAGACGTCGAAGACGGTTTGACTCGCTGGCAAGTTTCACATGTGCGGACCCACTTGCGTACCCACTTGTACATGTGCGGCCAATAGAAGTCTCTCGACAGAGCCGCGTATGTCTTCTCGCGACCGAGATGTCCTCCAGTCGGGGCGTCATGATACTCGTGGATTATGCGCGCACGTAGATCAGCATCGTTTGGGACGACGACCCGAGGTCCATCGAACCTGTCGATGCTGTACTTGAGCAGATTGCCATCCAGTCGATATCGATCGATCTGATTCCGCGTGGTCTTTGACAGGGCACTTAGCGTGTCACTACTAGTAGCACGCAGGTGCTTCATGATGGCACCGTATATAGGGTCATCATCGTACGCAGTAGCAATCTCGTTGCCCAGCGGGAGCATGGGCGTGGTCAACGTCAAGTTGATGCCTGACGACACACAGACCGCACATTCGTCGTCGTCCTCATCAGCCAGCTGATGTCCTAGCGCTTCACGGGGATCGTAGTCCGGACGCCGAGACAGCGCGTCGGCGAGAATGTTATTCTTGCCCGGCTTGTAGTGAACAACGAAGTTGTACTCAGAGAAGAAGGACAGCCAACGGGCCATCCGTTGCGACAAGTGAGGGCTCTTCATCGCTGTCCGCAGCGATGCGTGATCAGTGTAAACCGCGAACGACTGTTCACCGAGCAAGTACACTCTGAATTTGATCAGAGCGTACCGCATTGCCAGGAGCTCCTTGTCGTGGACTGGGTAATTCTTCTCGGCTGGCTTCAGTTGGCGCGACTGATAGCTGATAACGCGTTCGTGTTCGTCATCATCGAACTGCATCAGCGCACAGCCGATGGCAAAATCGCTCGCGTCGCAGACGACGTGGAATGGCTTTGAGTCATCAGCAAGCTTCAGGATCGGCGCAGACACCAAGCTCTTCTTCACCGAGTCGAATGCAGCTTGGCGGTCCGATTTCCACTCCCAGATACACGTCTTTCTTCAGCAGCGAGGACAGCGGCTGGATCAACCCAGCGTAATTCTTCGTGTACTTGTGCAAGTAATTGGCCATGCCAAGCCACTGACGCAACTCAGTGGGGCTTGTCGGCGTTGGCCCAAGCACAGATAGACGATACCTTCTCGGGATCCGCGCGCACACCGTTC